CGAGACCCGCCTTGGGCAGCGAGACCTCATCTCTACAATAAATAAAAAAAAAAAAAAATCAGCCGGGCGTGGTAGCACATGCCTCTAATTCCGGCTACTTGGAAGGCTGAAGCGGAAGGATTGCCGGAGCCCTGCAGGTCGAGGCTGCGGTGGCCGGGAGCGGCCACTGCACTCCAGTCTGGGCGACAGAGTGAGACTCCAACTCAAATAAAAAAAGCGAATTCAATGGGAGTTAAAATTAATTCCACCTATATTTCTCAAGTTGAAATTTGCTTATGATTCTTTATGCAGAAAGATAGTATTTCTCCTATACAGTCAAAGATTTAAAAAAAAATTCACTTACTTTTCGAGATAACATTACATTTTTACTTTTGTAAGGCTTTTTTCTTTAGCAGAATCAGCCAACAAATTCATTGTTGACAAAATCTTAAAATAAATGGGATTGTACACACAAGAATTTGGCACCTGGTAAATTGTTAGTGCTCAAATGTGGCTGATCTGATCTGAATTTGGTTTTGCCTGTTTTTCAGAGTAAAGTAACCTTTGATAATGACTCCCTGATTCAAGTTCTGAACTGGGATGGCAAGGAAACCACCATAAGGAGAAAGCTGGTGGATGGGAAAATGGTGGTGGTGAGTGAGTTGGTTCTCACTATCTTCTTACCTACTGCAGTACCTAATATAAAATCACTCAAAGCCTGGGCAGAGTAACTCATGCCTGTAATCCCAGTCCTTTGGGAGGACTAGATGGGAAGACCGCTTGAGACCAGACCAACTTGGTCAGCAGAGTGAGACTCCATCTCTACAAAAAATTTGTAAAAGTTAACTGGTCATGGTGTCATGTACCCATAGTCCCAGTTGCTCGCTACTCAGGAGGCTGAGGCAGCAGGATTACTTGAGCCTAGGAGTTGGAGACTGCAGTGAGCGATGATCACTCCCCTGTATCCCAGCCTGGGTGACAAAGCAAGACTCAGCCTCTACTACAAAAAATAAATAAAATATAGTCACTCAAATAACTTATTCTAAAACAATGAAAATAAACGCCATTTTTCTTTTTTCTCTTCACAAGAATGCGGAAAAATATTGGCAGATAAATGTATGATCATAAATATTATAAAATGTGCATGAATTGAGGAACTAAAACAATGAATGAACATTTTTTTAAAAATGTGTAGCCTAATTCTTTGACTCACAGGTAAACCAAAACAAGCATGGATTTGTGCAATAAAGATTTTAGCAGGATTGAAGGTTGTTGCCAATCCTCTACTCCGTATCAGAACTAAAGTCTCACTGTTTTTCCAACTCAACACCAAACCAAAGTATGAAAAGGAATTCTAAAATGGGATGTGGAGCTGAAGTAGTGTTTTTCTGGTGTGTGAATGAATTAACACAAGTAAGAAATAATTATACTTATGTCACTACCGGGTACCCTTATTTTCATATATTATTTACCCAAATCCCTACAATATTCCTGTGAGGTAAGATTTATTAGCCCATTTGACAGGTGAGGAAACCGGGATCAAGACACCAGCTTACCTAAGAAAACTGTAGTGGTACTGGGATTAAAGTCCAGGTTGGTTTAATTCCAAAGTCTTTACTTTCTAAAATCCATCCTGTTCCCTCCCAGGATGGTTTCCCACCTCTATATAGTGGAAAGATGTGTGTCAATGATTCTCTTCCTTTCAAACCCCCACCCGCATTAGAATGAATATAAAGGTGATATGTAAGATTTGTGTGGAGGTTAAAAAAAAAATCTAACCTCATTTCTTTTTCTTTCTTTCATTTTTTTTTTTTTTTTGACTTATTGTAGAGATGAGGTCTTGCCAAGTTGCCTGGGTTGGTTTTGAATCCTCAGGCTCAGGCAATCCATTCGCCTCAGCCTCCCAAAGAGCTTACAGGCTGAACCACCAAGCCCGGCCTAACCTTGTTTCTTAATACAAAAATATATTTTCTTTCTACATTTTCTTCCTTTTAAAGTCAGAAGGGGAAGACTAAGTATGATTGGTTTGTTGCTGTGTAATGACTTTGGCTAATATACAAACAAGTTTTATAGTTCATTATGAAGAACACTAGACTAAGAATCCCAGAATATGGATTTTCATCTCTGACATTAGTACTCATGTGACTTTGAACAAGTCATTTATCTTCCATCTTCATGAAAGGTTTTCTGAAAGAATTAAATATAATGTATGTATAAGTGCTCTGGAAACCATAAAATACTACATCAATGTAAGTTAGTATTATTATTTGAAAAATACAGCATATGTAAAATAGCAAAAATGTTTCAGTGTTCAAATTCCAAATTATATGCCTTGCTTTCTTAACATATAAAGAAACATTTTATATATATATACACACACCACATATATCATATGCATGATTTTCCATATAAACATAGTATATATAATATGGCAAAATCAGCGAATAGGTTCTATTTATAGTCTATGTAGATAGTTTTTCAAGACTTTCAAGGAATATACAGAGGGTGCCAAAAATGCATATACATTTTAAGAAAGGAGAAAACTGTATTAAAATTGTAATACTGTCCTACCTGTTGCATGGTGACGCTAACATTCCTTTGATTAATGCCATCTTTTACGTGAATGTCATACTACACATTGCTACTGTAATTCAACTTTGAAAAGTAGTACATAGATAACATCTCTTAAAATGTGTATACATTTTTTTGGACCCCCTGTATGTATGAACCGTACTTAGTTTGCATTTTTCTAAACGTCAGTTTCCTCAAGGATACTGAGATAGCTTATCCTTTTTTTGTGTTCTAGGAAAGTACTGTGAATGATGTTATCTGCACACGGACATATGAGAGAGTATCAACAAATGCAGTCTCAAACTCTTAAGCTTTCTCAAGCTGTGATCCAAACTATGTAGGTTGTTTCAATAAAACTCTGAAGTAAAATATTATGACTATTAGTATGAAAGGGCCTTTCTTTGCACAAGTGTCAACAATTTTGGTTGCCTTGTTGAATGTGCCTATGTCATATAGTACTTTGGCATTGGCAACCATGAGAAACTAAGGGTGAGATAACACATTCAGAGAGACACTTCATGTTGATTTTTTTCTCATTATTCATTTTATGTTCATTCTGTAAATTTAACATGCTCTGCACTATGTTGGGAAAATAATATTAATTTTTTAACAAACTAGTTAGGACATATATCTCACTGGTTATACCTCAGTTGTATATGAAAGGATAAAAAACATTTTTATAACTAAGGCAATAACTGACTAATATAATATAAGCTGTTATTATTTAGGGAACACCATAACCACTAACATCATCACTGAATGCCACCACAAAGCAGACTATTCTGTTTTATTTGCACCAAACCTCATGCAGTGTTAGGCCTAGGAATGATCTTAGAAACTGTGTAGACTGACCTCCCTAGATGGGGAGACAGGCCCAAGTCAGTTAACTGTACACTTCACTATCACCCAGATGGTTTCAGGAGGAACTGAAACTAGAGTCCATGTTTCCCAAATACTATCCTAACAGCCATAACTAAGTGATTTTAGATTGGAACACTTAGGTAGCAACTGGTTCATGATGTACAAGTCAAGGGTAACACTACGTCAAACTAATGCGTAAACAAGCTTCCCTTTGTCTTAAGACACATGGCAAGATACCATAGCTCAGTCTAGATGAGGACACAGAGTTTGATCATTAGAACTTGTAGTCTATCACTGCTTATTTGCCTGATATATATGGGGGAGCTTGGTATTCTGGTAGAAAGGAGAGAAGTGTTTATTTTTTGGTGTACTGAAATGATAAAGATGACAATGGAAATGCCTAGAAAGATAATTGTCCCCCAAGCTGCTTGGACTGAGAGAGAGAATTATAGGCAGAGGTTGAAGAAGCTGTTTTCCTGAGGCCCTGTGCATGTGAGCAGCTCTGCTGCAGGCCCAGGAAACAGCTTGCTGCAGAGATAGGACAGAAGCAGTCTCCCCATAGAAATGGAGCCCAGTACTACTCTGATACCTCCAGGATTGGTGGCTATGACACCTCCAGGATTGGTGGCTATGACACCTCCAGGATTGGTGGCTATGAGAGCTTCAGAGAGCAGCACTCTTGGTGCTTTGGCACTAGGGCATCTTGCCTGCTGTGGTAATGAAGATACTCTCGTAGGTGGTAGAAGCCAGTGCAGGAAGACTTGTGATGAAGGGAGAGCTATCAGATACCAGAACACAGGAGAGGTAGCCCAGTTGACTCTCAGGGACAGCTGGTAGGCAGGGGCTGGGAGCAGGGTAGACTTTATGGGGGCTAGAGTTCTACATAAACAAGTATGAGCAAGACCATGACATTGGATATTAATGTTAATATGATTTTATTTGTCAACAATCTGATAAAATCTAGAGATGTTTGAGTACTCGGAAAAAAACCCACAAAAATACAGCAATGACAACTGAAGATTTTCAGGAGTGATAAGCAGCATGCCTACCTTCTTTCCAGTTTCTTTACCAATTGAGAATCATTAGAGTAGAAGGGCATTCACTGTGGTTGATGGAAGTGCATATCCCTCAGGGATGGTCAGGCAACCAATCTAAATAAACCTAATCAAACAAGATACACCACTGTTCAAAAGTGATATTGTGATTTAGGATTTGCTGCACATCTACCATGCATCAGGCACTGCTTGAGAGTTGGGGATAGAAGCAGAACTAAGTCATGCATGCTGTCCTTGATCAATTCAGTAGAGAAGTATTATATTGCAAAGGTGTCATATGGGCACAATAATCTCCAGGAATTCATAAGCAACAGATTGTTAAGAAAATGTTGACTTAGAAATATCTAAGACCACTTTCTGGGTGAATAATTGCCTTGCCTGGTATGGAAGACACCTAGCAGTAGGGTGGCAGACACCTCAATGGTGAAGAGAGCAGTTTGGGTGGGAGAGTCATAAATGGACTCTTCATAATCCTTTTCATGACATCTGTCCTGAGAGTTTACCTTGGTGCAACTTGTATAAGTTCAGTTTAAGTCAATAATCACTAGTCAGAATATTTAAGGAATAGGTAGTTATTCCTAGTGAAGCATAACCTGTTCTTTTTAAGTTCAGGAAAGTTTGTTTGTTTAATTAAAAAAAAAAAAAAAAAACATACTCTTTGATTCAGATTTGGCCAAAACATTGCTAGAATAGAAATCAGAAAACCACAAGTAAAGAAAGGGAGGAAACTTACGCTTATTTGAACATAGAGTTAATATTGATTATTTACTATCTAATAAGTAAGCTTGGGAAAACAATGTTCTATTTGAATAATTGGGTTGACAATAACCTAAGATGAAAAAATAAAATAACAGCAACAATAATAATCTAAGACCTTTGCGAAGGTGGCACCTCCCACCATGGTGCACCATCTACACAACAACTACCACAGAGCTTTGTAAGGATGCTCATGGTCTCTTCACTCCTCATGCTTTAGTGAAGGGGGTATCTTCTGGGCCTAGCATATGATAAACTATTCTAACATCCTGATTTCCTTAAGATTTCTATATCAGGCCAAGGAAATTCTAGCATCTCAATCTTTAACTATCAGCCTACTGTTAAGCCCAGGTTTCAGTCAACTAACCAAGTAAACCACTAGGGATAAATTGTTAGCTGCACAAGCTAACATATTAAGTCAAGAATTTCTGGTGAATAAACTAAAACATAAATAAATAAAATAGCAACAATAACAGACTGTTGAGTACTCACTAAATGTCAGACACAGTGTTTAAACTATCTATGCATAACTCATCTTCTCTGTGAGATATTTATACGGGTATAGACTAATACTCAGAGAAGTTAAATATTTTGCCCAAAGTTCTTCAGCTATCAATACCAGGGCCAGAGTTCAAAACTCTCACCATGACTACAATGGTGAGAGTTTTGAAAAGACAAAAACAAGCAAACAAAAACAAACAAAAACAAACAAACAAACAGATGCTGGCAAGGATGCAGAGAAAGGAGAATACTAGTATACTGCTGGTAAAAATATAAATTAGTATAGCAACTATGAAAAATAGTATGGAAGTTCCTCAAAAAACTAAAAATAGATCTACCATGTTTCAACAATCCTACAGCTGGGTACATATCCAACCAAAAGGAAATCAATATATCATAGAGATAATTGCATGCACATGTTTATTGCAGCACTGTTCTTAATAGCCAAGACATGAAATCACCCTAAATGTCTATCAGTGGATAAATGAATAAGGAAAATGAGATATATATACACTAAGGAATAGTATTCAGTCACATAAAAGAATGAAATCTGGTCATTTGAAGCAACATGGCTGAAACTGGAAGTCATTATGTTAAGCCAGGCACAGAAAGACAAGTATCACATGTTTTTACTCATTTGAGAGAGCTAAAAAGTTGATCTAATAGAGATAGAAGTGGGATGATGGTTACCAGTGAAAGACGGTGGCGCACAGTGAGACTCAACACCCGTTAAGGCCAAGAGATTTAATGGGTCAAATGTGGTGGGCTACAGGACCTGAGGGTCAGTCTGTAGCACTGAAGCAAGGCCACGCCACCCTTTATGGGAGTTTAGGGCGACCTGTCAGTCGATTATTGGTCGGCCGGCGGAGCTCCATCCAGCTTGGTGGATTTTTTGCAGTGCGGGAAAAGGTGAGCCAGACTGTGGAAGAAGAACCCGGAAGGTGCCGTTTCAGACGCCCCCTTTGTTGGCCGGGTCGCCATTTTAGGCGGGGGCTGGGTTTGGGCCCCTTTCCAGGAAAAGGGAGGGGATGTGGTTTGCTAGCGCCTGGCGGTGGCCCTGGTGGTGGCCCTTCAACCAGAGCAAGGGAAGGAGATGGGAGTAATGAAGGCAGGCAGGTTAACGGGTATAAGAATACAGTCAGATAGAAGGAGTAAGTTCTATTGTTTCATAGCACAGTAGGGGGCCAATAGTTAACAGTCATTTCTAGTATATTTCAAGTTAGAAGAAAAGATTTTGAATGTGTCTAACACAAAGAAATGATAAATATTTGAGGTGATAGATAACTTAATTACCTTAATTTTATCATTACACATTCTATACATGTATCAAAATATCATATGAACTCCATGAATATGTACAGTTATTATGTATCAGTTTAAAAGCTGGAAACAACCAGGCCTAGTGGCTCATGCCTGTAATCCCAGCATTTTGAGAGACTGAGGCAGGAGGATTGTTTGAGTTCAGGAGTTTGAGACCAGCCTAGGAAACATTGCAAGGCTCTGTCTTTACAAAAAAATTAAAAAATTAGACTGACATGGTGGCACACATTTGTAGTCTTAGCTATCCAAGCAGCTCAGGTTGAAGGATTGACTAAGCCCAGAAGGTTGAGGCTGCGGTGAGCCGTGATCATGCTCCTGCACTCCAGCCTGGGAGACAGAGCAAGACTACAATTCAAAGGAAAAAAATTAAAAAGCTGAAAACAAAACATGAAATAAATTTCTATTCTTTATAAACTACCCTGTTTTAGATATTCTGTTATAGGCAACATAATATAGACTAACACATTGTCTTTGAAAACTTACTCCTGTTTTCAATTTCTATATCCTCCTGGGTTCAGTAAGGTCTTAGAAACCTCACCTCATCTTATCAGAGAGGATTTAATATAAAGGTTTGTTAACAGGGATGGAAAGCTTAAATGGCATAAAAGGAACACTAAGATTTCACATAGACAGCAGCTACCACCCAAGGAACAAAAGGAAGAGTCTGGGATTATTAAAACTTTGAAGCTTGGGCTAGGGGCATTGTCGAACTGAAATTCAGACCTCAGAGACAGCACTGCTCCTCTGGTACTGGGCTTCGGGAGTTTAAAAGAAGGATCCTGTACGCCTAGGACCCAGACCTCTGAGGGGGGGTTCCAGAGGGCTGAGGCTTGTTTCTCTGAGGGGATGCATTGAGGTTGTAAAATAAAAATAGAAAATTG